GTGCAATTTATTGAGGGGAATGCATGGAATGTGGTTGAATTGTGTTGGGCAATGTCCCCCTTGCTTGGTTGAGCCCTTGTGTGCAAGAATTTGGCCAATTTCATGCTTAACTTAATAGTGCACACAAGGTGTTCGATGAAATGCCTGTTTTCCATGCCATGTTGTGGCCACCGGTTGGGGCCCTTAATGATGTAGTTTGAGGGTGTATTTGCTATGGATGTGAACCTTAAGTTGCCTATTTTCTCGTGAATGTGCACCCCCACCCAGATTATGCTTGATTTATCGAGTTGTTGACCCCCGAACTATGGATGAAACCATGGTTAGGCTGTTTTCTGTTCTTAAGTGTGGGGGTGTGCTTGACCTTTTCTTTGGCTCTTTTGGTTCCACTTTGGGTTGTTCTTTTGCAGGGCAATGGCGAAACCTAATCTCAAGCACCCGTTCATCCGGGATCTAAGGAGGGGCCCCACCGCAGACCGCTTCAAGGAGGTCCTGGAAACCCCGTTTGGGTCACACCATTGCTGGTCCAAACGGGAGTTTCGGCGATTGCACTGCTACGAGCAACTCTCCGCCGCCGTCGCCAACACCGCATGGCGCCGTCTGCTCATCCTCTGCGAGAAGGTCTACTACGAGCCTGTGTGGGAGTTCTACACGACCTTCAAGCACAATTCCACGACCGATTGGCAGGACGGTACAGCCGTCCAATTCAGGCTGGGCGGTGTCCCCCGGTCCATGAGCTACCACGAGCTGGCCGAGGCTCTCGACCTCGACCACGACGACCGTCGGGACTACATCACCGAGGTCAATGATCCACCGGAGGTGGACTTCGGGAGGCTGTACACCCGCCTGCCTCGGCCAGGCCAGACGCATCCCTTCCGCGCCGGGAGGACGAAGGCATCTACCCTGCTGCTCGACAACCGCCTTCTCCACCACCTGCTGGCGAAGTCTTACACCCCTGCAGCAGACAATGCCAGCGCCATCACGAAGAGGGCCCTGTACTTCATCCATTCGATCCGCCAGCACAACCATCCTCTCCACCTGGGTTCGGTGGTGGCCAAGACCTTCGAGAAGACTGCTACAGAGCTGAAGAGCCTCCACTGCGGCCCCCTCATCACCCGCCTGGCCACCTTCTTTGGCCTTTCACTGCAGGGGTGCACCGAGGAGGGGGACACCCTCATCTTTGGCAGCAAGACGATCGGTAAGATGCAGCTGTTGCGGGAGAGGAACGGTGTTCTATGGGTCGATGGGTTTCCGGAACCTCCGATCCCCGCGGAGCCCGAGCCAGAGGCCCAGCCAGAGGGCCAGGAGGAGGAGGCTGCTGATGAGGTGGATCCCGAGGAGGTGGATGCTGCTGCTGCTGATGCTGCCCCCCGCCCCACCACCTTCGAGTATGGCGGTGGCAGCTCCGCTTTCCAGGGCCAGGATTACTTCACTCATCAGTTCGAGCAGCTGCGGATCCAGAACCAGCTAATCCTCGACCAGCAGATGCAGTTCCATCTGCAGTACGCGGCAGACCAGGCCGAGTACCGGAACAGGATGGCTGCTTATGACGAGCGGCTGAACATGATCCAGACTCAGCAGGGAGTGACTCTCGCCCACATCGAGCGGGAGAAGCGCCGTTCACGGCGCATGCAGGAGGTTCAGCAGCACCTGCTCCAGCTGCTCCCGGGCGAGCAGCCTGTCTGGAGGACTCCCTGGGATGACTCCCCCCTTCCACATGCCCCAGCTGACGGTGATGATGGTGTTGCTGGCGCTGCTGATGATGACGCGTTCATGAACGACATCGACCTCGACGATCTTGGCGACGAGTAGGCTGTACTCGTTGTCCCGTCTCAGTGTGTTTTCTTTTTCGTTTTAGACTCTTGTGTGTTTGCTCCATGTGTGCGGAGGTTGAACTCAGTGTCGTTTGTTTTTTGTTTTTGGTTTTCCTTTGTGGTTTGTTTCTGATGTAGCCGTCTGGGCTAACACTTATCCCTAACGCACAGTGTGCTAGTGTGTTTCTGGTGTTCGATTTGTGCAGCATTGTCCACTTCCCCATTTGTTTCTCGTTGACTGGTCCCCTTCCAGTCCCCCAGCAGTGTTTCATTCCGGTAACATCGTTCCCCTTCTCTTTCCCTCTACTCCATTGAGGGCAATGTCGTGCTTAAGTGTGGGGGGGGTGCTTTGTATCGGTTGAAATATTTATTTGGGTGCTTGGAGCCTAGTCCGCTGTCCGAATCTTACGATTTGAGGGCTCCAAGTACTGCTGTTTGATCATATTGGCACTATGTTTTGATGGATGAATTGATTGGTTTTCGGATTAATGCATGACAACTTGTTTGCGACTAGGACAACCTATGATGAGGACTGAGATGTGCAGTAGAACGATGTAGGGGTTCAGTTTTTCAACTGTTTGCTTGCCAACTGTGACTTGATCTGATTACTTGTTCTTGACAGTCGTTTATGCATCTAGTTCAGGGTATCAGAATGTGAGATAGAGCATATAGGTAGCCATGTGAGATTTGAGCCTGCTCGTTTCTTTCTTGTGCGATAGATCCCTCTTCCATGATGTGTAGCATTCACGTTGTCACTAGCTAAGATGATGGGGGCATAGGATTAGCCCACGACCAAAATTGACTGTCCTGATGTGTCATATCCCCTAGTCAGCCCCTTTGAGCCGTGTGTTATCCTTTCTTTTGGTCTCTAACGAAAAAATCACCCTTGTTGCATCTTTTAGAAGGTTCCATAGAGTGGTTTTTACATATTCTCTGCTGTTTCTGCTAAAGTCTATGTGAGTGTTGGAGGTAGTGCTTAGAAGTTGGGCAGGTGTTTGAAATTTGTCCAGGAGTGGTGGCTCTCTTAAGAATGAAAAGAAAAATGAAAGAAAAACAAAGAAAAATTGAAAGCAAAAGAGAGTCACTACCAAAAATCTGAATAATGCCCATTTAGTAGTGTTTCTTAGCAGCCTGGCTTGGAAATGCTGATGTTTATGCCTCCTTCGCTCTTGTGCTCTTGAGATATTGAGTAATGCAGAATAGCAGAAAGAAAATACCGGTTTGTTTGACTGTGATTGTGTGTTTGGAAATGTGGAACCTTGTGCTATGAATACTTCCACCACTTAAAAGGCCTTTTCCCCATGTCCAAGACCCTAGCCAGTCATTTGAACCTGTGTCTAAGACCTCCTGATTAGTTAGTGGTGACACCCCATATGTGAACTTTAGCATTTAGAGGCTGCCATCATGGTGAAGAGATGTTAGGGAATGAGAGAAATAGCATGCGCATTTTTCGCATTAAATTGTCCTGACCCCACTGGTCGAGAGTGAGTGATTCATTTTCATATTCTTTACACTCTTGTACCCCGGTGAGGACCTAGATTGCTCGGTCTCTATTCTGATGTCTTGAGTTGGATGCATGAGTTGACTGTTTTGAGTAAGTGGTTGAATCAAGTCTAGGTTGGCCAGTGAACAGAAGGGAGACTCTTCCTTTACTCGATTTGCTGCACTCGAATGTCCTTTGTGGTGGTTGTCCAGGTTGCTATTGAGGTTGTTCATGTGTGGATGTTTGAAAACCAGTACGATTCACGTGTTCTGTGCCTTTATGACTTGTCCCCAATGTTGGTTGATTGAAATATGTAAGCTTACCTGGTGTCTGACTTGGTTTGCTTGGGGACCAGCAAACGGTTAAGTGTGGGGGAGTTTGATAGACC